CATTCATTCCTGACCACTGACAATACCTTTCTTCCTCATTTTCAATGCATTCCTATAGTAAAATTATTAGCAATGCATTTACATTATACATATAATAGCCCTATTCTATCAGTAATGCTTGCATTCATTCCTGACCACTGACAATCCCTTTCTTCCTTATTTTCAATGCATTCCTATAGTAAAATCATTATCAATGCATTTACATTATACATATAATAGCCCTATTCTATCAGTAATGCTTGCATTAATTCCTGACCACTGACAATCCCTTTCTTCCTCATTTTCAATGCATTCCTATAGTAAAATCATTAGCAATGCATTTACATTATACATATAATAGCCCTATTCTATCAGTAATGTTTGCATTAATTCCTGACCACTGACAATCCCTTTCTTCCTGATTTTCAATGCATTCCTATAGTAAAATCATTAACAATACATTTACATTATACATATAATAGCCCTATTCATCAGTAATGTTTGCATTAATTCCTGACCACTGACAATCCCTTTCTTCTTGATTTTCAATGTATTCCTATAGTTAAGCATTAGTAATGCATTTACATTACATATACTGATGTCATCAAACTGATAAATGTCTCCATACAAATTTAACTAAAAAATTCATACTAAAAAATAGCTTTTTATCAGTAATGCCTGCTTTAATTCCTGACCATTGACAATCCCTCCCACAGTGATTTAGGCTAAAACTTGAAAGCTTATTATGATTTATACATTTATTTTTATTTCAATAATAATAATATAGCAATTAAGCAATACAGTGTCAGAGAGAAATACCTCCCACATAATGGTAAGACATGAGCTCGATAAAGACACCATGTCTTACCATTATGTGGGAGGTATTTCCACCAGCCCCTGTATATATTATATTACAAATAAGAATGTCCTTTTGTTGCCAAAACAAATTGTACAGATGTCTGCAAAGCAAACTTACTGACTGTTTCGATCTCACTTTTCCCAACCAAACAATGGAACGAAGCAAAATAAAATTTGGAAGAAATAAAAACAGAAACGAACGCCCTTTACTTCCTTTAAGAACAAATTACTTAAAATTCTGTGTCTATACAAACAAATTAGGTAGGAAATTATTTTCTTGTTGCTATAAAACATTGCAAAAGCTGAAATTATCTTCCCAGACAATGAAAATAAATAAATAAATCACAATAATGAAAAAAAAAAAAAAATGCTTTTTCTTCTTCACTTCTTTCATTAATGACAATAAAAACAAAATACAATGTTAATACTAAATAGTTTGTGTGGATGTGTGCAAGGAAGATAAATTTATTAAAAAGAAGGATAAATAACAGGTGGGTGGGAGGGGTTATAAGAATCTTTGATTTCTATAGTCATTCAGATTAGGTTTCTCTCTTAAATGTAGGTACATACATACCTCTCTCTCCGTGTGTGTGTGTGTGTATATATATATATATATATATATATATATATATATATAGTCTTAAGGTGTGCTATATTTATGGGATAAAGTGCTCAATATCAGAGATAGTGTGTGTAAGTATAAAAGTGAACATTGAAGTCAACACTTAGAAGCGACAGTCTTTCATGCTAGACGCAATTGTCAGGCCACCATATATATATATATATATATATATCTTTGAATGCAGTAAGGATGAAAATAACATATGAATTCTAATGTTTACAGCATTAATTCAAAAGAGGGCTCAATATTGATAGTAGAGCAATAATTTTTATTTTATTTATTTATTTTTTTTTCAAACAAATGGAAAAAAGGAAGTGATGTTTCACATGCAGCTTGCTTACAAACGAAATTGCTCATAACCATTTTGGTTCTCACCAGTCAAAGTGCAATTAAACGCACTGAAGCAAAGTTGCATCTTTGTAGTGAGTAAATTGTTTTTGTCTATATATATATATTATAACTTTTTTATAATCTCCAAATGTAAAAGAACGAAGAATAAAATTTCAACATTTAAAACAGGGCTCAATACAAGAGTAGAGCAATAAATATTTATTATACACTGTTACATTAGAACATGTAACTATCCACTACAAAATTGTACATTTTGTTTCAACGTTAAAATCAAACGTTTCTTCAGGTGTCTAACAATGATGGTACTAAACAATTTTATTCAAAATTGCAATTGATGAAACACTACTTAGCTTGCCGCTTATTTGAAAATTTTCCATAAAAGGTAAAAGGGATTTATATAAAGAAAAAGGAAAGAAGATAAGAAATCAAAAACAAAAAAAGGAAAGAGAAAAGAAAAAGTCAAGAGAAAGCATAGGAATTTAACCCTACCACCAAGAGAAAAGACAAAAAAGAAAGGCAAGAGAAATAGATAAAGCATATTCAAAATTACCCAGATTTATATATAGCATGTAGCCAACAAAATCTTGTCTACAATACTGACAACATTCTTAATAATGACTGAGATGGTGGAAAATAATTGGACAAAATAAGTGAACTTTTGACAGTTCACATCACGATTTCAATTTGGATGTGCAATGACTTATTCAAAAACTGGAAAATACCATAAAATCTTGTTGCTTGAGATATATATAATGTATATCTGTGTACATATATGCATGCGTGCTTACATATATGAGACTAAATAAAATAATCATCCATACTTTTGCCATAAAATAGCTTTACACATGAGTGCAGATATTTTTTTTTTACTTTCCCTCATATGTGTGCATATATATATATATATACCCACACACATAAATAAATATGAAAGTGAACATTGAAGTCAACACTTAGCCTGTCACCTCACAGGCTTCGATCCTAGCTAGAGGCAACCAGATGTCTAGCAACACTGATGAGCTGTGATACAGCAAAACAGTCTGTCTGTGGATGACAAATATTATATATATATATATATATATATATATAATAATTAATATTATTTGATAATTAGTAGGGATAATTCCAAAGAGGATATAAATCCAAAGAGTGCTCACTGTAAGAACAGAGCAAATATAATAATAATGAAAGCAGACTTTAGAAATCCATCGGTAATAATTTATTTCATGAGATTGTTTGTTTCTGGATAAATTTAAAATCCATTCATTGTTGTAAAAGTTTTGGGTCTGAAGACATAGGTTCTGATCCCATGAAATAAATTATTACCAATGGATTTGCAAGGCCTCCACTTTCATTATTTGATATATCTCAAATGATAATTTTCTGTCTTTTAATAAGTATACTAAGAAGCTTGTCTGGGAATATGAGAGGATATTATTGAAAATAAGTAGACAAAATTGTCTAAATTATTCAATGAGATATATATATATTTATTTTATCATGTGTATATTTTTCTAGACATATAAACATACAATTTCTTCTTAGAAAGACCAGAGTACAATAAATAAGAAAAAAAAAAATAGGTCAATAAATATTCTTAGATACAATTTCCCCTCCATCTCATTACAAATCCAATCACCAGTGCACACAATAATGTTTGTACATACTGGACTTCAATTCCTACCAAACTGCAACAAAAAAAAAAAAATCTCCTTTCACTTTCTGCTTTTCTTCCAGTTCAAAACTAACTAAATAAATAAATCTGTCATCAAAATAGAACAAAACAAAAAATAAGTCCCACTATGCCCCTCCTCATCCAGTAACCCAAGTCTTACAACCAGACCTAATCACTAACAAGGAACAATTACTTCAAATTAGCTGTCTGTTGGCAGTTTCAGGGTGGAGGTGGGGTTACTAGTAAATGACTCAAAGAATTTATAGCACTGCGCTTCAAGAATATCGACAGGTGGTGATTGTAGTAATGTCTGCTTTGGGGTGTGCGGGGAAGTGAATGGAGTAATGTCTGCATTAGGAGTGTAATGGTTAGTGGCTTAGAGAAATTAATGAGCTGTGTTTGAATTCGTTGCATTCACTTTTGCACAAAGGTATGAATCCATCTCTTCTACCCCCCAGCCTTAGTAGTAAATTACAGGGCTAACCAGGCTCTCTAACCATCATTGACAACCAGTCTAGGAGAAGAGCAACCATGAATTGAAAACCATGTGTTACTCTAACAAAGCATATACCATACAGCTATTGAAAGGATTATTAACTACAGCAGGAAGTTGAGGATGTTCTCAACTGAGGTCAAGAAGTAGTTAGGCTCTATTGGATGAGTATGAGACTGGTGTTCATTAATAAAAGAGCTCAAATCCTGGCAGCTTTTCAACAGGGGCAAAAAAAAAAAAAAAAATTGAATCCAACTCAGATGGATAAATAAAAGCAGATTGAGATAGATTGTTTTATATATATATATATATATATATATATATATACTTACTCTGTCATGGACATTGAGTTCAACCTGGATTCTATCCTCTTGGAATTTTTTTTTTATACAAAATATATATATGTATGCATATATATTTTTGCATATATGTGTATATTTACCACTAATATTATATATATATATATATATATATATATATATATATATATATAATCTTATCAACCTTTTGCAGATTATTTAAAACCAGAAAATATTTTTTAGATTGTAAACATTTTTGAGAGATAATAATTTAATGATACAAATCCTACTAATTAACCCATAGCTGGGGATGGAAGAGCTGGATTCATACCTTTCCCAAGAGTATTTATATGTAAATGAATATAACAAACTTGATAAGAATTGAAACTCTGCTTTCTAATTTTAACCCATTATTCATTACACCAACCGTATATCCAAGCACTTGATATTCTCAAGTGGTCACCCATCTAGGTACTGACCAAGGTCAACATTGCTTAACTTTGTTGATTGCATGAGAAATGCTGTTTCAACTTTATATTTTCATGAACCTGAGATATGAATGGAGAGGTTTTTCTTCCCTTCTTTCACTTTAGCTATTTACTAAAATTCTTCTTCACTTCAAGAGACATTTGCTAAAATGAGAATAGTTCATAGAACTGGTTCTTAAATTTCCTTTGCCTTTTTTTTTTTTGCCTTAAAAAATTAAGGGATTTGTTTAATAAAACATTAGAGAAATTTGAATCCATCACTAGATAGATCAAAGCAGGCTGAGATAAATGGATTATGATGATGAGAGACAGACTGTGAGAAGACTGGAATGGAGGAATGGACTGTGAGAAGACTGGAATGGAGGAATGGACTGTGAGAAGACTGGAATGGAGGAATGGACTGTGAGAAGACTGGAATGGAGGAATGGACTGTGAGAAGACTGGAATGGAGGAATGGACTGTGAGAAGACTGGAATGGAGGAATGGACTGTGAGAGGACTGGAATGGAGGAATGGACTGTGAGAGGACTGGAATGGAGGAATGGACTGTGAGAGGACTGGAATGGAGGAATGGACTGTGAGAGGACTGGAATGGAGGAATGGACTGTGAGAGGACTGGAATGGGAGGAATGGACTGTGGACTGGAATGGAGGAATGGACTGTGAGAAGACTGGAATGGGGAATGGACTGTGTGGAAGAGGACTGGAATGGAGGAATGGACTGTGAGAAGACTGGAATGGAGGAATGGACTGAACTGGGAATGGACTGTGAGAAGACTGGGACAGAAGAGACAAATTGTGAGAAGACTGGAATGGATTGTGAGAAGATGAAGATGACAAGATTGAAATTATTTGCAAGTGCCGTTTACTAAAATTACACAAATTTGCAGTATAAATTCTTACATTCACTTGGTGTATATATATATATATATATATATCAATCAACAGAAAATTTATGGATGGGGGGAAAAAACAAAAAAGGGAGAACTGGTTCCTAATTTCATAGACGAAAAATTTTGAGATAATCTGTCCCTTAAAATCTATGAATCCCACCACTGCTACAGGGTTAGTAAAAATATAAATTAATTTTGAGATAATCTATCTTATAAAAACTATGAATAAAATTTTGAATATTTAATTTTTAATAGTTGCATGAAAAAATAATGGCATAAAAAATTAAGTCCATCTTTTGTCTTTTTTGTTTTTTAAACTAAAACTTTTGAGTAAATCATCACAAAAATCTACTGGGATATTTGGCCATGTTTCATGAACATAATCTTGAAGTTCACTATTTACATTATTCAGACTACTGTCACTGAAGAAGGCCAGAGCGTACAACAGCCGAAATGTTGTAATAAATATGGCGACAAAGATGAGGACAATAGTCCGAATAATGTAAATAGTGTACATAATACCTCATCTCAGAAATATAGACAGATACTGAAAGACCGAAACGTTGTAATAAATATGGCGACAAAGATGAGGACAATAGTCCGAATAATGTAAATAGTGTACATAATACCTCATCTCAGAAATATAGACAGATACTAAAAGGCAAATAACGTTGTAATAAATATGGCAACAAAGATGAGGATGATAGTCCAAATAATGTAAATAGTGTACATAATACCTCATCCCAGAAATATAGACAGATACTGAAAGGCCGAAACATTGCAATATATATGGCGGCAAAGATGAGGACAATAGTCCGAATAATGTAAATAGTGTACATAATACCTCATCTCAGAAATATAGACAGATACTGAAAGGCCGAAACGTTGTAATAAATATGGCTACAAAGATGACGACCATAGTCCGAATAATGTAAATAGTGTACATAATACCTCATCTCAGAAATATAGACGGATACTGAAGGATCGGATAAATATGGCAACAAAGATGAGGACACTAGTCCGAATAATGTAAATAGTGTACATAATACCTCATCCCAGAAATATAGACATGAATCTTGAAGTTGTTGCTGATTATTTAGTTAGCTTACTCTTGCTGACAGTTTCTTTATCTTATTATGTCTGGATATATTTGCAATTTCTACTTCTTCTATGTGCTGCATCCATTCAGCATATGGGAGAAAATGCCTCTCCATGATTTCCTATCCTTTGTAGCACTTAGTAAAATGTTGTTATTTTTGCCCTCTCTTCTAATCCCTGTACTGCCAACCATTTACACAAGCTTGTTAGATTATGCACTGCTTTTCACTGTCCTTCTTGCTTTCATTATGTCCTGTGAGTGTCAAATTTTCTAAGCCCTCTTTCCTCATTGAGTGCCCGAAAAATTTCAACTGTCTCTTTCTGAATCTAGGTACAAGTGCCCTTTTTTTTTCCATTTTCTTTAAAACTTTGTTGTTGCTCACATGTTCTGTCCATGGTATGCTTAGCATGATTCTGTAGAACCATATCGTTGTTGCTTTAAGTCTTCTCTTCATCTGTGAGGAAATTGTCTAGCATTCACTGCCATATAGGAGGATTGATATTACATAGCAGTTCAGTACTCTTTTCATTGTTTCTGTTGCCTCAAGTCTTCTCTTCATCTGTGAGGAAATTGCCCAGCATTCACTGCCATAGTGGAGGATTGATATTACATAGCAGTTCAGCACTCTTTTCATTGTTTCTGTTGCCTCATGCCTTCTCTTCATCTGTGAGGAAATTGCCCAGCATTCACTGCCATAGTGGAGGATTGATATTACATAGCAGTTCAGCACTCTTTTCATTGTTTCTCTTGCCTCAAGTCTTCTCTTCATCAGTGAGGAAATTGTCCAGCATTCACTGCCATATAGGAGGATTGATATTACATAGCAGTTCAGCACTCTTTTCATTGTTTCTCTTGCCTCAAGTCTTCTCTTCATCAGTGAGGAAATTGTCCAGCATTCACTGCCATATAGGAGGATTGATATTACATAGCAGTTCAGCACTCTTTTCATTGTTTCTCTTGCCTCAAGTCTTCTCTTCATCAGTGAGGAAATTGTCCAGCATTCACTGCCATATAGGAGGATTGATATTACATAGCAGTTCAGCACTCTTTTCATTGTTTCTCTTGCCTCAAGTCTTCTCTTCATCAGTGAGGAAATTGTCCAGCATTCACTGCCATATAGGAGGATTGATATTACATAGCAGTTCAGCACTCTTTTCATTGTTTCTCTTGCCTCAAGTCTTCTCTTCATCAGTGAGGAAATTGTCCAGCATTCACTGCCATATAGGAGGATTGATATTGCACAGCAGTTCAACACTCTTTGTTTCTAATGAAATTTTCCTGTTTCTTAATTCATTGTTTAGCATTTGGAAGGCATCTTTTATTATTCTAATGCACTTTCAGATTTTAATATTATATATTCTGTCATTTGTCTGAGATATTTAAATTTTGGCACTTATTTAATTTTGTTATCCCCAATTTGTAATTTGCATGTTGGGCCGTCCCTTTTGCTAACAACTATACATTCTCTCTTCTCACAACTGATGGTTAGTCCTTTCTTGCTTTCCTTTACTACTTTCTGTAGGATCTTCTGTAGTTTACTTTCTATGTCTACTATCAAAACTGTGTCATCAGCATATATGTTGTTAAGATTGTGGTCACCAATAATGAATTCTGGTTGGACTTCTAATTCACTCTGAACCACCTCACTGTATAGGTTGAATAAGTCTGTTGAGAAGACACATCCATGCCTTACATCCCTTTCTTTTCTGTATATCTACTGAATTCATTTTCTATCCATATGCATGTGGTATAGTTCTATTATCCTTCTCAAATAAATCAAGCTTACCTAGTAGTTCAAATAGTTCTTTGTGTTGTACTTTATCAAATACTTTTGCATCAACTATCAAAGAAGAAAATATAAAACTTACTTTTTCTCTTTTTAAATGCCAAGACTCTTCTGGGTGTAGGTGGTTATGGCTCTCCACAGATACCTTTTCTTCATTATCTGTGAAATGGCATGGATTCTTGGGAAAGATTGTGCAGTGTTTTCCTGTTTCCTTTTCTGCTGTTAGGATTTGCAACTTTTATTTTCTGCCTGGGACCTGAGAGTTTTCTGTTCTCCAGCTGGTGTCAGAGTGAAATTTACTTGACCCCCACTGAGTCAGGTTGTGACACAAGGTCAGTTTTTAATGTGGGGACCTGAGTGTTTTCACTCTGGCCACTGGTCTAAGCTGGTCAGGGCTGGCCTAAGGTAGTCATGGCTGCTCTTGGCTTGTCATAACTATCTGAATGTGTATACCCCTCAAGAGAGGGATTTTCACACTCCAAATGATTTTCTAAGCATAGCTTAGATGTGGCGCAAGGCCAAAAGTGGGGATACCAAGAGAGGATCGAACTCACTACCCAGGTGTAATTGATTTAGCGAGACAAGCTTGCTAACCATTACACCACCTCGAAATACCCCAAAGCTGGTGTCAGAGTGTGTTCTGTCTTTTGGCCTTTTGTTAGAATGTTTTCTATTCTCTACCGAAGCTTTTTCAAGGCTAGAGAATTTAATCTACTCTATTTAACCCATAGTAGTGGAGATAACCGATGCATTCATAACTTTCATAAAGGCATTTGTGTGAAAGCAAATGAAATAGTCTAGGTTGTATTTTGAACTCTGATTGCAGGTTTCATTTTCCATGCTGATAACTGTTATGTTACCTGCAGATCCTTGGCATCATGTGTGTGTTCTATTTGCTTTTATCTGAAATGGAATTATCACCCTTGAATTCCATTAGTTATTGAAATTGCAGAGAATTGGAAATAGCTGAATAAAGATGGAATCAAAAGGGTTGGGGTGTATGAGTGGAAGCTCTATCACCATTTCTTGTTTTCTCTCTTCACATACAAAAAAAAAAAATCAAAAAAAGATCCCTACAGACGTTTCAAGTTACTCTGAATGTAATTTCCTGTTTTACACAGGTAAGAAATTTCCCAACAATACCAACAAAATGGTGGAAATATCAAATGGTTGATTTAGAGGGAGGTAACTGGTGATTTTTTTTTTTTTTTTTTTTTTTAGGATTGCACAATTATAAAGGTGTGTGTAGGTAATCAGGGATAATGACAAACAGGTTGACGGTAAAGAGTGTCTCGTGAGATGGGGAGAGGGAGGATTTCCAGGTGCAGAATTAACTTCTTTCAAATGTTTTGTTTTTTTTTTGCTTTATTTTATTGTTTTTTTTATTTTTAACGTTTTTTTATTCTTTATTTTTATTGTTTTTTTTTATACTTAGCTACCAATTTGATTTTATAAGTTTTCTTCCTTTTTTTTTTTTTTTTTTTTTTTTTTTTTTTAAAGACTTTTTCACTTGTGTCTTTCCTCTAACTATCCCCAAATCTATTGTAGCTTACATATATCATGGCAAATTCAGGAACTTGTGCTAAGGGGTAAACAGCAGACATGTGTCTGCATGTGCTTACACTCATTCACAAATCCATTTGACAGTATTTTGCTTCCACGAACACAGATGTGTATGTATACACACACACACATACATACATATATATATATATATATATATATATATATATATATATATATATATATATACACTCTATAAAAACAAGTACACGTGCACACATGTGTGTTTGTGCCTACTTGTTTTTACATATGTGTGTGAGTGTGCATCTGTCTACTTGTTTTTGTAGATCTGAATGCATAAACATACAGACATATATATATATGTGTGCGTATATGTATGTATATATATATATATATATATATATATATGTGTGTGTATATATGTGTGTGTGTGTGCATATATATATATATATATATGTGTGTGTGTATATATATATGTGTGTGTGTGTGTATATATGTGTGTGTGTGTGTATATATGTGTGTGTGTGTGCATATATATATATATATATGTGTGTATGTGTGTGTAT